TTTCATATGAGAGACTGCAATATTAAACAGCTCTGAGGCTGCTTCAAAATTTAGAGCCCTATACCTAACATCTAAAAACACTGCAGACTTCACAGGACAGCTGCTCCTCAGATCTGAATTTGTCTTTGGTAACCTCTGTTGCTACTGGTGGCAGAAAGAGATGTGAGGTGGAATATTCCACTATAGTCTGATTGAAAAGCAGTGACAGTGTTTCAAGATTAAAATCATTTGTACTAGGACAAGCATAGCAATGGGTTTTTAATTTGACAAAAATATAAACGTCATATTCTACACTGTCTCACATGGGCTTCCATGGCTGCAAAAGAAATGACTTGATACTTATATATGATATAAATGTTTGACACTGTTCATCTATACACATGGATTCTTATCTCCTATATATCTATATTATAGGTGTTTGAATACTGTGAATGGTGTTACTCAAAGCCCAATCTGAAATCACAGATTGAAGTTTTTTTTATGTGCAGTGGATTTATACAATTCAACCATCTCATTATCCTCCACATTACTGCTGTTGTACAACTAATTGCACAATTATAAAAGCTGTTGCAGAACAGACAATAACAAGCGCTGCCTGTGAGAGCGGGTTGTTTTTCAGTAATCTGTGACAATGTGCTCATTCACCATCAAACAAAAGACATATCACAAATGAAAACCTCTTCAAAAAAAGACAACAGTCACTAGTTGAGTTGCAATCAGAACTATTGTATTAACAAGATCAAACTATGACTAGAGACAAGAGTTCCTGCTTTTATGTCTAGTTGTATTACAGAACAAAACTTTTGTATCAGAACGATCAATTAGAGTGAGCAAAAAAAAAAACAACCCTTAATGGTTTGGTTGCATGACCCTGTCATTTTTGTTTTGGGGGTTTCACGCTTCACTCTCTGGGGGTGTCTTCAGAAGGCTAGATTCATGCTCTCTGGGCTTTAACATCCAATGATTAACTCAGTCAGTCTGAAAATGTAAGGACCCATCTTTGAGAAACATTTATTTAACGTGTATTGGTCCATGTTCTATCCACTAACACAGAGGAAGCAGAGGTTTATGACGTGTAGCCAGCAACATCCATCTTTATATACAATCTATGGGTGAAACCCAAAGCTAAACACAAGAGTGGATGTTCAAGCTAATTATTGATTGAACAGTTAATATAAAAATATAAAACCTGGGTGACCAGGAATTGAAAGCAGAAAATTCAGAATTCTTGTACCTTACTCATCTTTCGATTTTAAACCCAAAAGGAACTGGCCTTGTTGTGCAGTAGTTCTTTGGGGACATTAAACAGTAAAACTGTATTTTGCGGATGAAACATTACAAATGAAATATTTCAGAATGTTTTGTACTGTTGCATCAGACGTTGTTCTGTGTGCGTGGCCATCAGGGGAAATGCCACTTAATTGAAGCTCCGTTTCATTTAGGAAACGTTGAGGTCCTCCAGCTTGCCATCGTTTCAAACAAAGAAAATCTAAAGTGAGTTTAAAACATGGCATGATAAAAATCCACACAGCGCTGAGCTCCTTCTGGCCCACCTATAGCTGCAGCTGTGCTTCGTGGCGACAGAAGTCTCACTAGTCAGAGATTGCACACAATTGCATGCCATGTCAGAGTCAGCCCGCAGCCCCCTGCGACACACACGACACAGTGATAGAGAGCAACAGCTTATGGCTGAAGAGTGGAGAGCTGATCCTGAAAGCAGCCAATTTCAGGAGAGATGGGAGTTTGAGTATTTCTCAGTAGAGAGGCTTGTTTGTTTCATTTACCACCAAGTCGTCCAAAAGGACACGTGTGCGCCTTCACACAGGAGTAAGCAGAGGGAGAGTAGGTGTAGTAGTGTAGGCCATTACTGAGCTGAGGATGAAAGTGTGAGACTTGGCTTTTTCAGTGTGATTTCCTGAATGTGAGACTGCAGGGATCACAAACCACGCAGGATGCTGTCATTTCCCTCTGAGCATCACTGCATATGTAACAGTCAAACACAATGAGAAAATCTGGCTCATTAATCAGACCGGCCTGAGGCTGCAAACTCAAAACAGAATTCAATCAAGAGCTATGTTGTTGAGATGGGTGATGGAAATGAACTATAGCGAAGGTGTGTCCCTTTTTTTCCCAGGATGCCTCAGCTCATTCAAACTGCATTTAGCATGTTTGGATCCAATCGTGTATTGTTTTCAACTGGCTGCATACCATGTCTTGTGTCTAGGTCGCCTGTACTCGATTCTCCTCTCAGTGAACATCAACAAATCAAGTGACAAGCTCCACTTTGAAAATGGCCGTGGATGGTGGGATGATGTCCCCATCAAAGTAAAGGTCAATGGCTACTAGAGAAAGGTTAGGCTACTGGACAGAATATATCGAGCCACAATACACACGTATTTATCATAAAAGCCATTTATTTCTCATTTTGTCTTCAAGATTAGAAATTGAAACTTTCCAACTTTCACTGGTTAGCTCTGACAAAAAGTAGCAAAGCGATGTTACTATCAGTGCTGCAGAAAACCAACGGCAGAAATAATCTTTTTCTTATAAGTCCTACCCAATATTCTCATTAATAAAACATAGATGAATGTTCTCTTTCTCGGTCTGATAAGACATTTTCCAGAAGAAGAAATTGAATTTAAGATCGTTGCTGCAGGTTAAAGCGAACAGATATGAGGGGAGCTCTAAAATCACTTTTCCCTCTGCTTGAGTAGACGTCAAGAAGCAGCTCGAATTGAATGAGGTATTAAAAGTCATATAGGTGCTCTGAAAGAAGATGGGTTCACTCACACATGCAGTGGCAGCGAGACATGAACGTGGGGAAAACCTGAAACACTGTGTAAGTGTGTCCCTGCCAGATTCAATCTTTTGTCAAATAGAAGAAAATTTGTGTATTTTACTTCAGAGCCTCCAAAAGAAGTGGTGCTCTCTATGATGAAGCTTTTTTTTCCTTTGTGAATTTGTCCCCTTAGGTTTGTCAAGTTTCACCAGAAGTGAAACATTTGACAAACAGACTTAGTTCTTTACTAATTTACTCGCAGTATCTATCGCAAATGTAGCATCCGCCCCCGGTGCAAATTTAGAGCTTCACAAGGCATGAAATGAGGTTGGAATCTATTTTGAGCTCAGGGTTTTGGCATGGGGAGAGCAGGTTGGAGAGAGCCTATAACCCATGTACACATGCCCGGCTGGCAGTATCAGGACAGCTGGAAGGGACGGGCAAGGTATGGGGCCGACTGTGACTGACGACGAGAATGGCTCCTTTAAACTCAGCATGAGCTGAGCAGAAAGACAGGGACAGTGATGCCCCTGCATGCTCAAGTCCTTCCAGATCATTTGAACTCAAAGTAAAGTGTATGGCTCACACTTTCTCATATATAAGAGCTGTTATACTTTTGACACTGTCTTTTAAAGATAGTCCACTTTGATGTAAAAAGCTGATTTTAATTTTGCTGATGGATTTGACCGATGGATTATGGTGTCCAGAATGACATCCATCCATTCTGTTCTCAACCATATAGTTTGTCAAGTTGGGGGTCAGCATCTCCATGTTTCTGCCTTTTGCCAACGTCCTACCCAATTGGTGGTGGGTGCGGCTTTCTGTTGTTCTTGACTCGCAAAGTGAGCTCTCCAGTAGGGGGCCCTGGTTTCCCTATTCAGCAGTAACCTAAGAACTTTGGGTTTCTGAATCATTCTCCAGCACAATAAGGTGGAGATTCACATAGGAGAGAATGACAACAGGTTGCTTTAGATACTGTCTGAGGGTTGAGAAAGGCACCTTGGGAAATGTAGTCGATCTCCACCTGAAATAGGAGTAAGCAAGGGTGGTTGAAGGGAATGTCCAGAAAATAAGTTCCACACTGTTGATCTGTAGCAGTGAGAGTGCATCATTATTTACCTGCATAAGAAAACAGTGCCGACACCAGGTGGTAATTTGTCACTGCTTGACAGAACAATTAAAAGAAAAATCTGCTTTATCCTTTTGTTCTGTGGCTCTATTACAGTGTGTATGAACGAAGTGAGAACTCTCCAACTTCCATATCTGTACATTACCTATATTCAAACTAAGCGATTGCACGCACGGAACAAGTCACGTTGGCTGAGGTTCAGTCAAGGGGCAAGATAATCTGTAAACGCTCACATTTGTGCATGTTCACAAGATCATGTGCACAGTCATCCACAAAGAAACAGAGATTGAAAAGAAAGAGACAAACAAACGACTGTACAATATGCAGGTAAACAATTCAATGCCCTGCAGTGTTGTCTCCATCCTGCACCTCTTTTCTCTTAACATAAATGTTTAAAGCACTGCTACATGTTTTAGTGATGTGCATAGCAAACAACAAACTGGAAAAAAAAGAATCAAATACCCAGAGGACTTGAATATCATGATATATTTAATATTTGATGTAAGTGGGTTGTATGACAGGAGAACACTACATTTATGAGTTTATTCAGAAATATAATCCCATTCCACTTGTGGGTGTTTATGTATTAATAACCGCAGAGCCCCACTGTTCATTGAAGCAGCCGAAGCTTCGCCTCTGGAGGAGTAAAACACTGGGCAGCAGAGGATCCTGCTTCAGTTTTCAGTCACAAAAGAAACAAGCACATGAAGTAAAGCTGATTAATCAAAGCAGTGAGCATATAGGCCCAGTCAGTTCAATATTTTTAATTTGGTTTAAAGATGAATTTGAAATTTGAAAGTTGGTTGCCCGTTTATTGAATCTGTATTTTTCAGGGGTTTATTCAAATACAGCACGATAACAAGCATTCCTTAGAGAATTAATATTGTGCCTGTGGATATGTGCAATATGGTGATAAGTGGAAAATCAGCTTTGGCACTTCTAGTTACCCCACTGGTTTGGGATTGAATGTTCCCAGTTTCCCAGTGTATTTTAGGCTTTTATTTTCTACCACCACCAGTACAGTTGAGGCAGCTTTCATCGTATAACATTGCATCTATAATTGAGATGATCATCACAGACCTGCTCCTGAAATTCTTGCCTGAGCCCAATGTGCTCAAGGAGCTGTAGAATCAGATGTGTGGCTCTAAAAGAGATCCTCCAGTCATGTCTCTTTCTGCTGCTCGTCTTCACTCGCTGTGTCTTCCTAAGCGTTGGAGATGAGCGTGGATAGATAGGGGCGGCTGCAGAGGAACAAATGAGGTTCAGTCTTCACAGTCCAGAGCTCGATATTTCTTAGAAGACCCATTTCTTGCAGAGGGACACTTTGTTTGATGGAAAGCAGTGTGGTAACTTTACTGCATACATTACTCATGAAGCCTTTTGTGTATTATCTGACAACCGGTTGCCTCAATTCTGCTGGGGCTTGTGTTTCTCAGGATTAATCCCGAAGACTGTCGTGCATAACTGAATTACAGTTGCAGTGCTTTATTCTCTGTGCTCGCTCTGCCTTGTGATTCAAATCCTGCCAGTTAAATGTCAAACTCTGTCCTGCTGTCGTCCCTTTCTCCTCCTCACCTCCTTCTATCCGCTTTTAATTAGAAGTTGTGAAGTTATGACTCCTACCTCTAATTAATCCAGAGTCTGCTGCGGACACGCACGGCTCATCACTGTGTGCGTCGGCCACTGTGCACATTGGAAGAGCAAAGAGTAAACAGGGTTGTGCTGGTAATAAGGAGGCTTATTTGGGCGTCTTGAAGGGAGAGGATGAGTATTGATGGCAGGTCGTAGCACTGTGTAAACACAAACCCGCAAATGCGGTTAGTGGGTTGAATCTTGCCTAAGTGTCAGACTTTAAATACATTTGTATCCATATTCATTCTGCCTTTAGCAGTTGGAACAGAGAGTCCAGACAGCATCATCAACACAGCAGAGGAAATTGGTCCAAAAAAAGAGAAAGCAAAAAAATGTCGACAATTGCAGCTGTGCCAAGTGAAAAAAGACAAAAATCAGCTTTAACAATAGAGTATATCCCTAGTGTAGTTTTATCCCTGTGTTTTCACCATTGGTTGGGGAGAAAAGTGAGGTATCAACTGACCAATTCTAAAAGCTGGGCACTACTGTGCCATCCCACTGCCTCTTTTTTGAATATCTAGAGCTATCTTACCCCTTTTCCATGCATTCCCAAAGTTAAAATCACATTAAACTCAAAAATATAAGCTTCCTTACATTTCAACCAGTTATATCCCACCATCACCACATCACCCTCCTGTATTGATACAGTTATTTATTGTTTATATTCCCAAAACAATTTCTAAGAAGTGCTTAGAAGCAATAAGAAGTGTAAGAAAACATAATACAAAACAATTATGTTTTCCTATAACCTTTAACTGTCCACTGTAGAGCCAGATTACAGTGACATGTTAGCTGTAGCTGTATTAAGGTCTGTGAAGTTAAATGAAATGAAAGAACTGCCACTGACAAATAATAGACAATAGACTTTTGCAAACATAATATTCCGTAATTGTTATGGTCCCTGTTAGTGGGCCTTAGACACGTACACATCGCACACACATAAGTTATTCACTGTAAAATAAAATTAAAATTCTAAATAACCTGGTAATCACATGAAATTAACTTGTTCTTCCGGTTTAAGTTAAACAAGTATTTCTGACTTAAATGGACAGTTGTGTTTACTCAGTTTAATCAACCAAGATATATTCAGGCAAGTCAAACAGCTTCAGGAAACCTTTGTTCACTCAAGTGAATATATGTAAATCAATCAATCAAAAGTATTTGTATTACTTTTAACAGTGTTGCACAACAATCATCACAAACTAACATTGCAATAAATAGAAATGCCCAAACTGTTGTATTAATGTTCACCATAGCAAATAAAATGAGTTTGTTGGTGGTAAACCAACAAATCCAAACACATGGGCAGTAAACAGTAAATATGTTGTGTTCAGTCTGTCTCCCCAAGCGTCAACACACTCCTCAGCATCAGTGACTCATGTTGTCCAGATGTTGACAGTAAAGAGAGGATGACTAATTCTTCAAGTGTTAATTCAGGTTTGTTTTAAACCTGCTGCTTTGTCCCCCAAGGATAAATGAAAAACAAGTGAAAAGGTCCAACTGGCTGAACTGGACTTTGTTTTACCAGTCACAGGAATGATTGTTAAATTTAGGTTGATATGTGGGAGTGAAAGTTATTACTTGTTCTTTATTGTTTTGTCAGTTGTTGAGGAAAAACAGAACTCCGAACAAACCCTAACAAAATAAGTAATTTGATTCTGAAAGGCAACAGTTGGGAATTTAGTTCATCAACCACTCAATCTATCATAGAGACATAGAATAACAGGAAAATTGCACCTTAACCACAAGATAATGGTAGTCACAAAGGGGCGTGTAAATAAAACCAGGCACATGACAAACTCTTGGAATAGCAACACCACAACAAAACAATCTCAGAGGATCAACTGAAGGTGTTGACCCTCTGACAGCAAACAAAGAAACTGAACAAGGAAACCAAACCTCCTTATAAACCCTCCCAGCCTCAGATGATTGCCACCAGCTGAGATCCCATGTGCATCCCATTGCTCCTGATGAGCTGGGGAACATGGGAACCTGTGAGCTGGACTAAAAGACTGACTAACACTCTATTAAAAAACAAACAAACCCTAAAACAATTCAATCAAGACTGCATATCGCAAATTCAGTATAAAAAAACATCTTCCACACATATGGAATTTATTGTCTAATTGTGTTGAACCTCAGCCGTTGCAACAGTCTATTTCCTGTGTTTAGCTCTCATGTATAGATTACTGTGTGACTTCACACTGTTGCTGGTTTAATGGATAAACTGAAGAAAGATTTGAAATGACTGTCCTACTGACACTGTCTGCTGTGTTGCACCACTCAGCATCACTTTACCATACCAGCAGGCATCACGTGTTGGGATTACATACGGTTCAGAGACAAGACTTTGCTGGTAGCAAAGAAGCACAAACCCACAGTAACACATTTCCCCTTCAGCAAATATCCTTGACCTACAGCTATCTGGTTCTTAGTTGTCCAGAAATATATAGAAAATAATAAAGTTATAAGTTGATACTGTTACTTATCTTATTTTCATCCCTACAGTCTTTTTATTTCACACCCTCACTGTGTGTTTTCATTGCTTATACACTCTTAAGTGTGACTGAGTCTGATACAGGGCGAGAGCTGCAACCCCATGAAACAACCCCTCTGCTACAACTCCTTAACTAAAATCCATTCAGGTCTCATCCTCTCTGCCCTCGTTCACCTTTACTCTCTGTCTTTCTTTGTGAAAGCATGTAGCGATGCTGGAGAAGACAAAATTGCAGCCATTTAAGTCTCAGCTGCAGCAAATATCAAGTGAGCTCAGCCTGTGGCACTTGTGGATAAATTGGAGTGGGTTTCTGTTGTTTAATGGAGGGGAGAAACAAAAAGAGCAGCCATGCATGAGCTCAGAGAATAGATTCAGAATAGTCTAATTTATCCCAGTGTTTGTCATAATTTCAGATTTTAATAACCCTCCTCAGTCCTGCTAATAAATAAACTGGAAATGTAGAGTATTGTTTTATGTCTTTAGACATGGACGGAGGATGGATAGTTATTGTGCAGCCTCCTGGTGGAGATATATTCTCTCTCTAAGCGCCATGCTGACATTGTGAAACATTCCATTGTATAAACACATTTTTCTTTTGTCACTGACTAAAACCAGATATTAATGGAATTGTTTTGGGAAATAAGATGATTGATAGCACTGTTAATCAACACCCAGCAGCCTGTTAGCGTAGCATAAACACCTGGAACAAGTTTGCCAGATTCTGCCAAAAGGTAATAAATTCCACCAATAAATCTCACTAATGAACATGTCACTTTACATTGCATTTTTAAGGGGTGCAAACTCCAGTGTGAAAAACAAATGTGGACGACACAGAGCCAAATAAATAATCCATAACTAATTCATCATAAAACTGCAACTTGTCTTCACAACCCAGTTTTGGTGCAGATTAAACAAACATTATTAATAATAATAGAGCACTTTTCTTACTCAGTGTTGACAATATGTTCATCAGGATACATTCTCTGAGAAATCCAGCAGAGATAGCCACAGAGAAAGGGGGCAGGGGAAATCAAATGGGCAAACAACAAACTGACAACAGAAAACCAAGAACACAAACTCTGAGGATGAACTGAAGGTGTTGAACCCCTGAAAAACAAACGAACAACAAGGAAATCAAACCTCCTTTCCCCAGTTGCACAGTTTGAAGTAGCAATGGCCTGAACTCCTCTGTCAGAAACTCGCTCGAAGAAATACTCATCCACCTCTTTTTCATTAAATGATGACAGTCTGCTAGATTAAAGTCTTTTGGCATAAACTGTTGATACAGAGCTCTTCAAGTTTCAGCTATTTCAAACAAATGGCCTTCTCCTTTTCACTTTGCCTTTCCTGGAATGTCAACCGCATTCTCATTTGCTCACAAAACTTAATTTGCTTGAGCTAGTTTTAACCTCATTTCACTAACAAGATCAGTGCCACCCTCTTCAGAATCTCTCTCTGATTTAGGTTCAGAATCATGGACGAGGATGTGTTTTTCCAACAGCCCAGGGACCCCAGCATGTTTTATTGCATCTTCACCTGATGACACAGTAATGCCCAACTGGTGAGCTATTTGCATGAGGTCTGCCTTTTTGCATGAATTCAGTGTCAGATCTCCATAAATGACTCCAGTTAACTCCATGTTTTGTGCTGTATTCAAACTATTTCAACTTGAGAGACCCCCCCCCACAAAATACAGGTTTATTTCATTCATATCCCAGATGAGCCACCAACTGTTACTTTTCTCCCCTAAAAAATTAAACCCTGGTACACAGGAGCTGCAGTTGGGGAACAAAACACTGCAACAAAACTAACAGAATGGGTCTTTGGGTTGTGAAAGGTAACGGTTGAAATATAGTTTAAATGTATCAAAAAGATCGTGGCAGTAACAGAGAGAAGAGGAGTGGTGTAAAGAACAATGGGCACATGACAAACTCTTAATAAACACAAACTCTTAGAATAAACAAAACCAACACACAAACACAAACTCAGAGGATCAACTGAAGGTGTTGACCCTCTGACAGCAAACAACCACCAGAACAAGGAAACCAGACCTCCTTATAAACCCTCCCAGCCTCAGATGATTGCCACCAGCTGAGGGAGATCACATGTGCATCCCATTGCTCCTGATGAGCTGGGGAACATGGGAACCTGGATTCTGATCTCCACATGATCTCTACGGTCATTACCAGACCCACACCGAATTTTAATGAGTTCTTCTCTGAAGCATAACACAACATTCCACTGAGTAGTTTTTTTTTGTAAATCCTGGTGACAAACAAACAGATGAAAACACAACCTCCTTGGCAGAGGGCACAGAGGGGAATGAAATGAAGTTACTCACAAAAATAAAACACATTACATGTCATCCAAATTAAGCAAACTAGGCATGACATGTTAAGTAATGTGTGTTATCTTTGAAAAAGCTAGTTTCCTCCCTTTTTCCAGTCTTAACGCTCAGCTTAGCTAATTGATTGCTGGTGAAAGCCTCATGTTAACCACTCAGACATGAGTGTGGTATCCATGTTCTCATCCATCCGGGAAAGACAGACAAATAAACACATTTCCCGAAATGCAGAATTGTTCCTTTTAGCAGGTGTGTGTTTTCCCAGGTAGGATGCTGACACACACACACATGCGTCTGGGGTGAGGGTGAGGAGGCAGAAACAGATCCGTCAGTGAAAAAAGATGAAGAACAACAAAGACGACCAACTGGATGAATCCATTTCTACACAACAGAGACGCCTGTGCTGTGAACAGGCTGTGATGGGCCAGTTAATTGTTGTTTCTGCCTGAGAGGAAATATCATTGGCGAGTGTTCGACAGCTGATCCCTTCAGTGTGATGTTGTTCGAAGGGGAATAGTCCTGCTGAACACAGAGTGCACTCCAACGTTCATCTTTTTTTTGTTATCTTCTTCTGATGAGAGATTAGAGATTTGCGACCAGCTAAGGAAGGAGATGGTTAAATGAAATAGATCAGATGTTGCGTACGCTTGTTATTTCACATCAGAATCATATTTGTTCGCTGTTGTCCAGCCAAGTCTTTCTACCTCTCATTCCATCTCATAGATTGTAGTTGTGCTCGCAGGAGTATCACAAATGACTGAGAGAGCGTAAGCAGTCGATTTCCTCAGCAACTCCAGAGCCACGAGCGAGTGCATCAGGCCACCTCTCTGGTTACCTCACTGCACGTGTATGGGAGAGTTTCATGAATAGTGAGCAATGGCACCGTGTCAGCACAGAGATATGATCCTCGAATGTCGCAGATCTGAAGCGCTTTAAAGTCTCGATGCAGCACATTACAGACCGAGACGAGGAGGAGGACACGACTTAAAAGATATTTCATGTTCCCTGTCTTTTCTGTTGTTTCAGAGCTAACACAGACTGTCAGGAATACATTTTTGAGAAAGATGTCGCCTGCTTTGCTTTTGGAAACCGCAACACAAAATCCAAAAATGCATTTTAAGTGTATATGGTTTCATAGAGACAACGTGTAATCATCTCTAAGTAAATCGTAATCTAATGATATAAAAAACCGCAAATTGAGGGTAATAAGCAATCGCTATGTTGTATTACACATGTAGCTTTATAATGACATATAATGTTGTATAATATTTTTTTATTGGAAAATTAAAGAACTGCAATTGTAATTTTTTGGCAGTTTTTCTTTATCTAGTCGAGGGTCAAGGGATGTTGCACCAGTTTAACCTATGAGGCATATTGTGATTTCTGAATATGGGCTTAACAAATAAAATTTGATCGATTGTGTTTTTTGTAAAAAGAAAAGAACATTTTGAGCTTTGTTTTCTGGGGAATTTCACAATTTTTCAACTTCAGTTCCCAAATTCCACAAAAAAAAGTCATGGACCTTATTTTTTATGTGACCAGAAATGCACAACAGGGAATCAGAAGCTGCTCTCCTCATTGAAAGATGGACTTAATAACTGAACATCCATTTTGAAAAACATATTCAATTCAGAATAGGGCTGCAGCTAGTGATTCATTTCATGATTGATTAATCTGTTGATTCTTTTTTAGATAAAGTGATGATTCATTTAGCCTATAAAATGTCTGACAATGCGTGGTACAGTTCTTTGAAGGCATCTTCAGATGTTGTACTGCCATATAACACAAATAAATGAACCAAATTTTCATAAAAGAAGATAGAACTATAGAGAATGGGAAAGGATTTCAGTTGTTAATAGATCATTAAAATTGTTGCATAAGAACGTTGCTCTATTGTGAATTAACTTATTGTTTCAGCTCAGTTTATGTTTCATTTGATAATTAATTTATGTCAGTCAAGTAACCGATTCATCAACTAAGAGGTACTGGTTTAGGTTTCCCAGCTTCCTACATTTGAATAGAGGAGCAATGAAAAAAAATCCTTTTGCACTCAGTTCATCTGAAAGTTTTGGTGTCACATGGTCTAACAAGATTCTCCCCAACCCGGAGACACTCCTGCACAGACTAATATGAGGATTTAATTTAAGTATTAAATCAAGCGGTCTGGGACGGAGCTGGAGTCTGTTGGTGCGAGCTGTGATCACCAAGGGAGCGAGTCTTCGCCATGCCATGTCAGTATAAGTCATTATTATAACCCCCGGCCCGCACCGTACAAACTATTCAACGTGGGTCAGGAAATCAGGCAATTAAAGGAGCTGTGGACGAGGATGAGAGCCGACAGCCAATGGAGGAGTGCAGAAGGAGCCAGGAAGGCTTGAATCTCCTCTCCGCCCTCGGGGAGCTGACTGGTCCACATCTCTCAGCCCCACTACATGCGCAGAACAACCACTTAATCACAATGCTTATTCAAATCAAGCCAGTGCACAAGCCTCCATTTGCCCGAGTACATACTATGCACAATCACTCCACGCTTTAAGGACAGCACTCGGACCGATCTGCTTATGACCGAAAATTGTATCGAGTGTTTAAAAGCTTTCTTCTCCAGGGGTGGTRGTGGTGGCTGCTAGAAATGTGCTGTTTTGGGAGTGTTTTTGTTGCCTTTCCACCCAGAATAAGCACAGTCACAATGAGAATATGTCACACAGAATGTTACATTTCTACTCAGCCAAGGACCCCTTGTGTGAAGCCAATTACGAGTGGAAACTTTTCACAGACCCCTTGGCAGTGTGCCACGGACCCTGCGAGATCCACAGACTTGATTTGTGTGCGGCAGGTTATTAAAGTGCTGAGTTTAGACAAATTTTACATGTCCAAAGAAAACCCTGAGACGTGGAGCTCGCCGCTGTGAATTGAACATAATTACCGTGGAGAATGGAGCATGATTTCAGGTGACAGTCGTCAGCCATGTTAAATACTTCCTGAGAACTGCTCTCAAAATAAATTACCTCCGTTTTTGGCAATCCCATCACCAGCTGATGAAGAAAACAACGCTTCCATAAACTGTGTTAATAAGCTGTGCATTTGCAGCTTTTGGGAACATCACATTCTATTTTTGTCCAACACTGACTGCGCTCTATCTGCACGGGTGCTTGCGCTGTTTGAGGTTGAGAAGTGGCGATGGAGGAGTGTGAATGTTACACTACTGACAGCACACACACAGACACACACACACACACACACACAGACACACACACACACACACAGACACCTGCTCCTGGCCTTTTGATGGGCCTCCAACCACCTGCTGTCATGACCGTGTGATCAGAAACCAGTCTGATTACTGATGAGAGCGACCTGGACCTGGCAGCCAATCGAAACCCTTCAAAGCCAAACGATCTGAAGCTCAATGATCACGTCCCTCATGAGAACGAGGCTTTTATATCATTACTGCTTCAGCTGCCAACTGTATCTAACTCCAGCTTTCTTTCTGTGTGTTTGAAGCTGTTCCCCACCTCTGAATTATGTACCACAGAATACTAGAGTCCTATAACTCATTTTTTCTTTTTTCTGTCTGCCAGCTTCAGTTATGTTCAAGTTGAAATGATTAGTAGCGCCAAATAATTAAGATGTAGTGTCTCTGAGGTATAATTTTACTGTCTGTCAGTTGTGCACAGAATGTTCAAAGTTCTGTCAGCCTGTCTCCATGGCACCCTAGTAGTTGAATTTGTCATTTAAGGTCCAGTGACCGGGAGGGAGACAGAGGAAGGTGACAACAGATCGGCCAAACTGGGCGCAGTCACTGAAACATGCTCAGATATTGTTTTTTGACATGTGTGGTTTAGGTGCTGTGATGAGGAGCTACAGTCGTGGCCTAACAGTGAGTCAGGGTGTCAAAGGCTAGAGGTTTGATCCCCTGTGCAGCCACATGTGATGAAACACTTGGAACTTTTGTTTTTAACGTGGTTATGAATGGTGTTTGCCTTGGTGGAGGTATTGAAGGGCAGTCGTAGTGTGCATTCCTCCGCCAAGGCAAACACCATTCAGAGCTATATTTTCATCTACATTTGTTTTTTGTTAGTTAGCTGGATTACACAAAAAAATACATGAGTGATTTCCCTGATAAACTACGACCATTAAATGTGGAGGGGTGAGGAATCACCGAAAAGAGACCCCATGCAATTCTAGTTTGAAATTTAGTGACATCTAGTGGTAAAGTTGCATGTTGCAACTGAATAGTGCCTCATGTCGACCCCCCCACCAAAGGATTATTATTTTATATTCAATTTCTGCCAATAGATCCCTTTCACCTAAATCTCACACACTGGTCCTTTAAACGTGGTTTCATAAGGGGACTCTTGGATGTACTGTATGTGCCATTCTAGTTCAGAAATATGAAAAACTTTTAATTGACAGGAACATACTGGCTTTTCAGTGCCTCTACCAAAGTAGAGAGGGAGAAAAGATCTACAGCTCGAGGGATCACGCTGCCGATTGCTATTCACGTTAATTAACCTTTGTAAAGTGCCTGGAGGTAACCTGCGTTGCACCGGCACATGAAAGCGGCCTGATACTTTAATGTATTCAGCCACATCTCTGTGTGTTCCTCGGATACAGGAGGTAGACAAAATCATGTTAACTCTTCCTGAAATAGACCTAAAACTGAATTA